GAATATCATGATCTACACCTCTACTCCTATATGTTTCTGGATTCAGAAATCCCCCCCCTGTACAAAAAATAAATGAAGTAGTCTAAATGTATTTCATGCAAAATTTAAACTCTTTTTGGGAATTTTGACTTTTCAATGGAGACTATGTTTCTAGAAGCAAATTCCTATTTTTTCTAAAGAAATGAGAAAGTTATGTTTTAAGTTTTCTCTTAAGTAAAAATAACATTAATAGTTTCATAATTGAGCCAAAAATCAGGGAACCCCAAAAAACAAATCTCTGCTTGGTTCTATTGTGTACACCCACTGTACATAATAATAGCCCTATTTTGTCAGTAAAGCTCATTTTAATTCCTGAATACTGACAATCCTTTTCCATCTGATTTTTTTCTTTATGTAAAAACTATCCAAATGTTCCTTTTGTCTGAGCACTTTTGGCTATTCTTTAAGCCATTATCAAGGATGATTTTATTTTTAACTGAATCTATGGATTTTTTTTTATGCATGTATCTAGAGTTATAGTAATTTTTTTTTTTTTTTAATTTTCCCAAAAATGGTCAGCACATTGAAACAAAGATCATCTTTCGTAATGGCTAAAATAACAGCTGAAAGTGCTCAGACATACAGAACATTCAAACAATTTTTGCATACCTTATGTCCAGAAAAGGAAAAAAATTATATAAACAAGAAAAATTAAATAAAAAAAAATTTAATCACACTACAATGTCAGTTGTCTTTAATGAAACTTGTATAAAAGAGAGATTGCTGACCAAATACACAATTATATATATATATATATATATATATATATATATATATATATATATATATATATATATATATATATATATATATGAAAAATATATAGAAAATAGGAAACTTGTTAGGTAAATAATCCAAAGTTCTTTAGTATTTTGTTATTATTTTTTAAAAAAAAGTGCTCAATACAAAAGTGGAGCATAAATATAATTATTCATTTAAAAATATGATTCCAACACGCTACATAAGAGTTCTCATGTTTCAAAACAAGAGTCGAAAACTTCAATATAATTTTTTGAATTAAATTGAAGATGGAACAGAGCTTGGTACTTTAATTCAAAAAATTATATTGAAGTTTTCGGCTTTTGTTTTGAAACATGAGAACTCTTATGTAACGTGTTGAAATCATATTTTTAAATAAATAATTATATATATATATTTTGTGATATAGCCCTCAATATTTAAATTAAAATCAGATGCATTATCAGTCTATCAAGAGATATACTTTCTTTGTATTTCCTCTTTCTTTCTTCCTTCCTTCTCATCTTTTATTGCCTGTCTAGACAGAGGTGGCGGGATAGAATCTGGGTCGCTTAACAACCAGACAGCTGGACCTCCTAATGGGATAAAGGAAAAGTTGATCACCCAAGCCCACATGACATGCGCCACCAAGTGTGATTTTTTAAAATATATTATCAGTTTCCAAAAAGTCTCTAAGTCAAGTTGCAAATAAATTGACTCCCATCACATGCTCATTAGAAATGCACCTATGGACTTATTCGATTACTAGATGTCTCACAAATAAGAAAATATTATTCCTGGTGAAATTTTCTCAGTCTTATCTTGGATTTATTTCAACTACTAGATGTGGAACAAAATAGAAGTATCATTTCAGAATCTCCCAGTTTATATTGAAGAAGGAATATGTTAAAACATTTCATAGCACTTATAATTAATGCTTCGGCAACTTACCATGATGTCTGTATTACTTAGTCTTCAGACAGACTCCAAACGTCTGCTGCTTCTTCTTACCTCTGACCAGGAGCTCTTTATAGTTATAGACTAGTTCATATAGTTACCAGGGGTGTACTATTTACTCCATAAGAGAATAATTACCAATTTTCATTCAGACATTCTAAAGAACTTTTATCTGTTTGCTGTTATGAACACTTCAACCTACGAACATGATTCATTGATAATCGGAGTGATATCCAGTTTTAAATAAATGCTTCTTGTTGATCTTATGTCTACTGTCTTACATTATTTTCCTATTAAATGTTTTGATACAGTGGAACCTTGGTTCATGGATTTAATTCGTTCCTGAAGGCCATTCATAACCCAAAATGTTTATAAACAGAAACTATTTTTCCAACAGGAATAAGTATAGAGAAAAATGTTACAGTATAATAAAATTGGAAAAGAAAAGCACAACACAACACACGAATGTATACAACATGGCGGTCGACTCAGAAATTATTCTGTTTGTGTTAACTTGGTTCGGCTATGTTGTTCGAGAACCAAAATTTTGTTCGATAACCTAGGCATTTTCATCTTGAATTTTCTGTTCGAAAACCAATTTGTTTGACATATGAGATGTTTGAGAACCAACGTTCCACTTTATATGAAATTGTTTTTAAACTTTCATCCTGTGTTTGATGACACCTGCATTATACATTTCTATCTGAGCAATCCCATCTTGACTTTTTTTTTAAGCCGATGTCCATATCTGTATGTTGCTAGTTTGTAACATATATATATATATATATATACACACACACACACACGTCCCATGACAAGGTGGTTGGTCAGAGGGTTTTTGCAGAGCTGAACACCTGACCATCTCCTTAATCAGCATTTTTTTTTTTTTACGATGATGCCACTCAAGGTAGAAGAGAGACAGTTTATGTGGCCATGTGGCAAAAATCAGTTAATTCTAGGCTTGAACAGGTCAAGACTGTAGTGATCGGGGGGGGAATCCTTTTGGGAGTCCATACCACAAAGTAGTGGTTCATGGGAAGTAGCTACACAAGTGGAACTTACATCTCGCTAATGGAATACAAAAGGAATGAGGTTGCTTCACTACAATGTGCGCAGTATGGCAGGTTTTAGTTCTGAAGGTTAGAATTGACAGAACTAAGGAATTTAGTTAGTCTGAAAACTTTCCATGGAAATAGATGTGCAGCAGCAAGAGCTTTGCAGTTTTCATCTGTGGGAAAGGAGTTGTAGGGGGGAAATAATTCATATACTCACAAGGACATGAAGATGCTTTCGAACTATCGAGATTGAAGTGAAAATTCAAGCAGCAGCTTGCCCATATATGGTAGCAGTACTCTATTTTCGATCACATCTTGCTCTTGTAAAGGTAAAGGAGTCAGGTACTTAGTAGATTGCTACAGGGAACTAATGATTTTTCTGGTATCTTTAGCAATGGATCATATGAATTCTGGATTGTCTAAGTCCCAAAAGGCACTTAAGACATAAGGTCATCCTGAGAGAACGGCCATTCATTAAGAAATATAAAAATTCAGGGTCCACTTGGCGATGATAGAACGTCACCAGTTTTGGTTTTCAAGGCATTGAATGTGACCAGCCAGTTTTTCCTCAATTGAGCTGCTAAAGATAGTTCAGAATGAGATCAGCTGCCAGAATCTGGTCATCTACAGTTTTAGAGGTGTATCCATATAACATTGTATCATCAGCATTGATATTCACAAATGATCAGAGCATACTCTTAGATCATTTGCATAAAGTAAAAAGAGGGTTGGACCGAGAAACAAGCCTTGAGGGACACCTACATTGATTGCTTGGGCCTCAGTGGACTGGCCATTAACAACCACCTCTAGAGACAGAAGTATTCATTCACATGTAGCATGAATTGGGTAAGTAGACCTGGTGAAGTCTATCCCTCCTCAGGTCAAACCACAGCTGATGCCCTTCAACTTGAAGGCTTGCATTGGTCATAAACACATGGTTATTGATTCTAACAGGTTAACTCTCTGCTCTGGCCATGGAATTCAGTCTAGGAAGGCCTTCAATCAGCAATACTGTATGACTGTACTGACTGATATGGAGCCCAGTCTACCTCATTGTACAAGATGGCAATTGACTTTACAAGAAGATTCCGCTACCCTTTGACAGGTCTTATTTTTTAAAACTGTTGGAGGGGACCAGTTTAGTTGCCAATGACATGACTATGCACATGGTATCAGTGACACTTGCAGAGTGACTTAAAGATCAGTACACATGTTAAAATTTACAGTACTTACACACAGCATGGATAAAAATTCTAATTCAAAATGACACCATGATATTAAGCATGGCAGAACATATATGGAAAGAAAAGTAAATTGCCCTCTTTCAAATAGGGTTAAAATAATAGATAAGGAACAAAAAAAAAAAAAAAAAAAAAAAATTATGAAACTGCATACTAAAGTCTACAATAAAAAACAGCCCAATGCTTAAAGCAGAAATAAACCACAAGGACTTTTCATAAAAAAAAAAAAAAAAAAAAAATGCTATAGTTCAAGTTTTGTGTATGTAGTGGGAAAATGAGTTTTTGTGCTGAAACAGATTTTTGTTTGAACTGACCATTTCCTACAATAAGTATTTTCATAGACCAAATGTCAGAAAGTTCAAGAAGTTTTCAGTTCCCCCTACTTTCTCATTATACTTCCATATATATATATAAAGAAATATAGTCTTAAGATGTGCTATATTTATGGGATAAAGTGCTCAACATCAGAGAGCATGTGTAAATATAAAAGTAAACATAGACCACTCGTGGCCTGAGGATTGCATCAAGCATGAAACAGACTGTCGCCTCTAAGTGTTGACTTCTATGTTCACTTTTATATATATATATATATATATATATATAAAAATTTAATAAAAAAATTGATAGTTTGAAAGAAATGATGTTGGCAAAATACACCTTTATACAACACACACATGCAAACACAAAGCAAAATGAATTTTTCTAACAACTCATCTTCACAGTCTGCTTTGAATGCAGTTGTGGCTACTCAGTATTACAAAGAGTAACAACACAAATGTGAACTTCATTTGGAATTGGAACAGCAGGTGCAGTTAAAATTTCTCAAATTTTGGGGTCTTTGAGTGTGAGGGTAAAAGATGGAAACCGCACCTAGTGGAATGGTAGAAATTCAAACAAAACTTTCACCAAACTGTTATTCAGAAATAAAAAAGAAGAATCAAATGTATATAGTGATGTCTGCCATAAAAACCAAAAAGACTAGTTGAGAGAGAGAGAGAGAGAGAGACGGACGAGCGGGAGGGAGAGAGAGAGAGAGAGACGGACGAGCGGGAGGGAGAGAGAGAGAGAGACGGACGAGCGGGAGGGAGAGAGAGAGAGAGAGACGGACGAGCGGGAGGGAGAGAGAGAGAGAGACGGACGAGCGGGAGGAGAGAGAGAGAGAGAGACGGACGAGCGGGAGGGAGACGGACGAGCGGGAGAGAGACGGACGAGCGAGAGAGAGACGGACGAGCGAGAGAGAGACGGACGAGCGAGAGAGAGACGGACGAGCGGGAGAGAGACGGACGAGCGGGAGAGAGACGGACGAGCGAGAGAGAGACGGACGAGCGAGAGAGAGACGGACGAGCGGGAGGGAGAGAGACGGATGAGCGGGAGGGAGGGAAAGTTGAGTGAGAGATGTGTGGGATGAGGAGAGAGAGACCAACAGACGATAGAAACAGAGAGGAAGGATAGAGACAGAGAAACAGAGATGAGAAAGGGAAGAGAGAGAGACTATCATGTACTTTAAATCTGTGGGTGTATGAAATTTCCCATCCTCCCCCTTTTTCCATACCTCCCCTTATTCCTTCATTTATATCTCCCTCGCACCCACTTACCCCAAACAAACATTTCTTTTATCTTTGATTCAAAAACTTCCACTTTCCTTTTTAAATTCATCCTCTTCATTTTTCTTTCCATCTTTTGTCTGGTATTTTTTTTTCAGCCTCCTTACTCATCCTGAAAATTTTTCTTTTTAACCCACCCTACCAAATTCTCAGTGAGTCTCTCATTCCTCCACCCCCACAACTTTTCACAGTTTTGTCAAGCATCCATCAAGGATCACTACCCAGTAATAATCGGCTGTTAAAATAGCTCATTAATTACTACTCAATGATGAGCTGCTCTAATTGATATTAACTAAGCTTCATCTGACCCAAGGTCACAAATGTTGAGCACCCAGAGAGAGAGAGAGAGAGAGAGAGAGAGAAGGAGAGAGTCAAATTCACTATTATTTAACTAATCATGGCTCAATGGTAAATTATCATTGGTGTTATTTATAGCTTATTTAAATGATTTAGTGTCAGACTAACATTCTCATCTTAGTATGGTACAAGGTTACAAAATCAGAGCACTAGTTGAAATAGTTGCTCATTATTTAATCTTTTGTGCAAATTTTCATTCCGAAAAAAAGTATAAATTTTAATTTCTACAGTTTATAAAAAAACAAACAAAAAAAAACAATCATTAAAATTTGAAAAATTTTATTTTGAATTATTTAATTTTTTTTTTCATTTTTTTTTTTAAACAGTCTTTAGTAAAAAAAAAAAAAAAAAAAAATTAATTACTATTATAACTATTATCTTGATTCATTCATCATGGAATATATTTTTTTTAAAGATTGTAAATGCTTTTGAATATCCTGAATTACTTATTTTAAATCAATTTTACTTCATTTTTTTTTTTTAGTAGTTGCCTACAAAATCTAATCTATTTTCATATTTTCATAAAAAATTAAATTGAGAAGCTTATTTCAATGTCTTTTATATTATTTTTAAAAAAAAAATATGAACAACCTATTGAATTAAGAATTTTTCCTTCTTGATAATGAATTTCTTTGAGATCATAGAAAATATTAACTCTTGCTTCTGATTAACTACTCTCTCTTAATTCCTCCTTTCACTTTTACTCTCAACAGCTTTCACTCATCCTATTACTCTCCATGCAACTATTTTTTTGTAACAATTTTTTCCTTCTTTTTTCTCTTTGTGCAGTATTTGTTGATCTCCTCCAACTACAATTCTATATGATATCCTCTACCCTTTACTCCTATTCACTCTCTTATTACTTCTTCCTTTTTTACTCCCACCAATTCCTACCTTTTCATTCAAGGAGAGATGTTGATTGTTTTTTAATAAAAAAAATTACATATTCAAAAAGTTTATGAAATTTAAAATCTTTAAATAAATTCTTTTCATTTTTAAATTTCATTTTACTTTTTTTTATTCATGAAAGGCTACTCATGAAAAAAATAAAAACTGGTCGCATGAGGTCATGTAGATGCTATACTGGACTTTAGTCCTTCATTGCATCTCAGAGAGCAAGAGGAGAAAGTTTACTTGGCAGCGCCCATCTCCTTTCACAATAACATCAGATAAGTTATGTTGGATTACATGGTACCAGCAGCAAAGAATATCTGACCTGATTTCAGAGCAAACTATCATTTCATGCCTCTTGTTAAGATATCTGGCAAGGAAAGAGAACACATGGAAACCTGGATTCATACCTTTCTGAAGAACAGTAGTATAAATCAAACCATAATTGCAGGGAGAATTGGATTCATGCCTTTCACAAAAATGCTAAACGAGGAGAATGATAGTAACCTGAGCTGAAACTTGGTTCAGATTTTATTGCTCATGTTTAAAATTGGAATTTCTTTTTCTTTTTTTTTATTTTTCATCCTCCCATCTCTTTGTCCCAAAGGAAGATTATGTTATCTAAACATCCAATTGGAGGAAAAGAGCCTGTTTTCCTTGAAAAATATCATTTGAGATCTATTTTTTTTTTTTTTTTGTTTTAATACTGACCTTTGATATCAACTGGAAAAACAACTATCTCAACCACAAGGCAGAACCCCACCTCATTCTTTTCCCTTTTCAATTCGTTATCTTCAATTTTTGATTCTGAATCCTATCATTTATATAAATTCTTTCTTCAAACATCTTTCCCCTATTTTTTTCTTCATCTCATTCTAGCTTTCCATCTCTAACACCTTCCTAAGTTGAGCTTTTCCTTTTCGCTGCTTTTCAACAGTTCACTCTCCTCTTTGTTTTTCTCTCCTACTATTTCCTTTCTTATCCTACCACTCTTCTTTTTTCTCCTCCTCCCACCATTTTTTTCCCTTCTCTTCCTAAATGGACATTTTCTTCTTTACTCACTTCCACCATTATTACATGTACATTTTCTTCTTTACTCACTTCCACCATTATTTTTCTTCTCTTCCTTCCACCATTGCATCTTTTCACTGTTTTGTTCTCATCTCTGACTTTCTTTATCCTCCTCTCACTTTTTTTTTCTTTCCTGTACTCTTCTTCCTCTCTCACTATTATTTTCTTTATTCTCCTCCATCTATTCCCACTATAGTTTTTCCCTTTCTATCTCCACTTATCTTCTCTCATTTTCTTCTGCTTATTCTTCTCCTCTTCCCACACCTATTTTTTTTCTTTCCTTTCATATCCATATTCAAACTCCTTGAAAACAAACACTTTTCCCTACAACCAAAGTCTGTTGGCATTCAAATAAATTTTCAAAATATTATTATAGCAGTTTTAAAAAGACAAAAACAAAAATGAAATAATTCCTTTGTCTTTCCCATACCAATCTCCTATCTTGTCAGCCCTGTTAACCCACACACCAACATACCTCAAACTCTTTGAAGAGTTGCCCTGCTTTTTCTGCCACCAATCATGACACTTTCCCAAGAGTAGGAGGCACTTTTTGCAGAGTCATGTCAAAGACTTGCCTACCAAAGATTCATGGAATGTTAAAAGAAGACAACATTAGAATAAACTAATGCCCACTTACAAGAAAGAACCGTTTCTTAAACACTTCATCAAAGTATTACACTCACTTAGTTTTTTTGGTCTTCTCTCTCATATTTACCAACTAGAAAATTTCACTTTCCCACTGCCATAACAGCTTTCCTTTACCTTTTTCCATAAATATTTTCACAGTAATAGTTCTGATCTTTCCTTGTTAGTACCTCAACTTTACAAAGTACTAAATTGGCAGATAGGTCTCAAAATTTTGTTGGAATTGCTAGTTGCAACCATATATTCTATGCTAGCAGTTTGTTCTTCTACACTTCTTTCTTAGGATCAAATCTTGCTAAAAACACCAGTTCCAGCATTTAGATAGGGGATCATCAGGTACTGTAAGCAACTTCCAACAATCCAAAATGTGTTTTGGTTTTAATTAACTCACAGAGGATTGATAAGCTCTTTAAAAACAAATCAATTAATCCCACAGTTTGCACTTGTGGAATTCTATTCTGGTTTCCCCACTTTCCTATAAACTACAATCTTCAGAAATTTAAATATAATGTCAATCGCCATCTCTTTGAATCCTCTTATTGCCCTCCCTGTTTCATTCTCAGTTTGCCATTGCATCTTAGTGGCTTTATTGATTTGCTTGGGGTGGATTGATTAAAAAAATTAGAGATCAATGAAAAAAAAAAATAAAAACAAAAAAAAACACAAAACTCACAAAGGCAAAAATCTAAAACCATTCAGGATTAGTTTTCCTTTGTTATCGTTCAGGACCAAATCAGTATCAGTGAAGGCATCATTCATACAAGACAAGCTCCTGGGGGAGGAGATCAGAGTTTAATAATATTTGGAAGTTAATTCCTTGTTTTTACTCCCATTTACTAACCTTGATTGTCAACTTGAAGTGGACAAATTTAAAATCCTGCAGATGTTAATGGATTCAATATGAGGGGAGACAAAAACAAGACTTTTTAAGCCTAGCATCTGACAAGGTTATTCATTACCCCTTCCTCAAAACTTCCAACCAATGCACTTTCCTTACACACAGGTTTGTCTTTCATCCTGACCTGAAGATGTATATAAGATCGAAAGCATGTTGTCTGTAAAAGTTTTCCACTTTGTCTCACTATCGCCTCTTTTGTTCAGATACTATTATACATCACCAATCATGATATATAAGTATGTTTAAAACAGGATATAGAATCTCGCCAAAGATTTTAAGAAATTTGACAAATGGAAAAGATTTCATTGAAACTAGATATGATTACACATTTTGCCTTTCTAGGCTTCATCAGATCCAAAAACAAAAGAAATGTGTCTGTGTATTTGTGTGTATGCTTAAATAATAAATCATAGTACAATAAGATTGGATGAGGATTTGCCTTGGATTCATTTCAGAAAAGGCTATAAAATTTCTTGCTTTCAAGCCATTCTGAAAATGAGATGAGGATTTACCTTTAATTCAATACAGAAAAACCTGGGAAAAATATATTAACAACTTTCAACATGAACTAAGAATTATACAGAAAAGATACAGAATAAATATTAATGGCTTTTTAAAAAGTCACACATTTTCTTCTTTAATCACAAGAAACATCAGCTTAAAGAAAAAGTAGTATGATTCATTGTTTAAGCATACATACAAATATACATATTTTTCTTCTGTTTTGAATATTTGATGAAGCCTAGAAAGGCAAAACATGTAACAAATCTAGTTTCAATGAAATTTTTTCCATTTGTCATATATATCATACTTATTATAAAACCCAGGTTGTGTGTGTGTGTGTGTGTGTGTGTGTGTGTGTGTGTCTGTACGTTTATATATGGGATCGGATTTCCTACATTTTTCAACCAATTTCAACAATACTTCACTTTTTTTTGGCAGGTATGTTTCTTATTGTCTTGCACACTTTTTTCTTTACTTTTACATTCAGAATGCTTTAAAAATTCCATTTACAAGACAATTGTTTATAATAAAATTCTATTCAATCGGTAGACTCATAACGATTGAAAACAATGTTTTTGTTCGAGTTTGACCAATTCATAAAAAAACAAAAAAAAAAAAAAACTAATTAAGACATGCGTGTTCGTCAACCTTAAATAATAATCTTTGTCAAGATACTTTATCTCTTACTGTTGCAACACCATGCTCTACTGCTAGTAGATATATATATATATATATATATATATATATATATATAAATGAAAGAGAGCAATTTAAATTTTGTGCAAGTTGTTTTCAAATCTGAAGAAAAAAAAAATAACTACAATGACTGAATTACTTTTGTTTAAATAACAGCATTAGTTGAACTCATTTCACACACCATAAAATCTTTTGTCCTTTAACAAAATTTTAAATTAATCCAATTAAAAAGATGTTGCCATGTGTTAATGTCTGCATGGGTTAATTAGTTGATGCTATTTTAGTGCCATTATTTTCAACATCATCATTAGACTCGCTAATTTTATCACATTCATTTTTGTTTTTAACTTACCAGCTCCTATGAAAGAATAGAATTAGGTAAAATAAATGTAAAGATTTAGCCATTAAATTTCCTTTAGTCAGAATAAAAATGCAATAATCCTTTTTTTTGTAGGGAAGGGAATTTAAAATTACCTCCCTAAACTCATCGACTATAATCAAATTCATACAGACATTGTGAACTCCATAATCCTCTCCATGATTACTTGATATGTGCTTCACCACTGTTACAGTTTTCACTTCAAACTTGTCCTGATGGATTTTTACACTCCAGGAAAGAAAACACTTGTATGCATACAAAAAAAAAAATATAAAAAAATTTGTGAATCTTGCTCAATGAAATACTAACAGTAGAGCCCGGCGTTGCCCGGGATGTAACAGTAAGAGATAGATCAAGTATCGACCATCATAAAGACTGAAAAATAAAATTGACAAAGATTATTATTTAAGGTTGACGGACATGCATGTTTTAATTAGTTTTTTTTTTTTTTTTACGAATTGGTCAAACCCTAACTCAAACAAAAACATTGTTTTCAATCGTTATGAGTCTACCGATTAAATAGAATTTTATTATAAACAATTGTCTTGTAAATGGAATTTTTAAAGCATTCTGAATGTAAAAATAAAGTAAAAAGTGTGCAAGACAATAAGAAACACTACCTGCCCAAAAAAAGTGAAGTTTTGTTGAAATCGGTTGAAAAATGTAGGAAATCCGATCCCATATATAAACAAACACAGACACACAAATCACCTGGGTTTTATAATAAGTATAACTCGATAAGAGTTGTCCCCCTTTCATTCTGGCGACAGAATAGTTTTTTTATCGTGTCTCCAAATTGATTTCGTGCAAAAACAATTGTTTTTCCAATTTTTGGCACTGTCAGAACCACCGCAAGGTAATTTTACACAGTCCTGTGAAGTTTTGTTGAAATCGGTTGAAAAATGTAGGAAGTCCGATCCAATATATAAACGTAGACACACAATCTGCATTTTATAATAAGATGTATTAAAGTGGAATTGCTGCCCAAATGCATAACATTATATATATATATATATATATATATATATATATATACACAACTAAAGACCTTGCCAAAAGACCTAACACCTTAATCAAGAAAAAAAATCTCAAACTAGGAAAGAAAAAAGAAAGACCAAAAAGGCAACTACCTACCTACTCAGTAAGGTGAAGTGCTGAATAGCCAGGTTATCTATAGAGAGCAAAGAATGCTTCACAACATCAAGAAATATATACACATTTTTGAATCTTTCTCCAAAAAAAAAAAAAAAAACACAATAATTCAAGCAACTAGAACCTACTATATCTGATTTAAATAATGTATCTTTATTTTATTATAAATTTCTGTTCTTAAGGTTTTGTTATGTTTTCAAATTGATGTCCGTTATGATCCAGACATTGCTGGCAATGCAATGCAATAGAATCACAAGCAGCAATCATTTCAATAAGTTTCTTGAACTTTTGTGAAAATTTTCCATCACCCTTTTTTGCTCTATGTGGGCTTCCAGAAGAATTCTTGTACACATCGTGTACACTACCATCAGCTACAAACTTATCTCTAATTCATGAGATTGCAAGCAGAGTAGGTGGATCTGAATGAAATTCTTCAATAGTGTCTTTGAACTTCAAATGCATTTTCGTACTTCCATTACCATTTCAGGATGAATTTTCTTTGTTCAAAACTAAGCCTGGATAGCATTAGTAGTACTAATGGGTGAAGTTGAAAAGAAAGCAAGTTATACACTGTAAATGTGTGTATACATTTTTTTGAGAAACCCTGTGTGTGTGTATATATATATATATATATCTCTCTTGCCAAGGGCTTGAATCTCATTATTTGTCAGGGAGGTGATCCCAGAACATAGATCTTTTGGTAAGTTCCTAACAGACAAACCTTGCAAGTGAAATTCAGTAGCCAGAACTGTTGGAAGCTGTTGAAGGTTGTGCTAGCACAAAGTCACCAGTCATTGTGACCGAGGGTTTGAGCATGCTGACCTTGCTCAAAAAAAATTGATTACACCAGATTATGCATTATCTCCCAGAAACTGTAGTCTGCTCAGCTTTGTTGTAGTATAAACCACAGGTTGACTGGTTT